TATTCTATTCTATTCTATTCTATTCTATTCTATTCTATTCTATTCTAGTCCTTCCAATATTCTATTCTATTCTATTCTGTTCTGTTCTATTCTGTTTTGTTCTGTTCTATTCCCATCCCATTCCAGATTGCTGCAGAGAAACTAAACTGGAGCCCCTCCTAGATGCCTGCCCCTTACCGCAGGGCAAGGACCATGCAAAAGCCATGATCAGGTCCCCTAAATAGTTGGGGTGTCGCACAAAACCCCACCAGCCAGAGACCAGGAGTCGCCGACCGGTTGCCGTAGGGATTGTCCGGAGCCCTGAGGGGGGAAAAAAAGAGAGTGATGGAAAGTCTTTGAGCAGGAGGATGGACCAGGCTCTCATCCAACCCGCTGCACAAGCAGACCCCTATACCAAAGGGGGTCAAACTCAATTTCATTGAGGGCCACATCAGGGTTGTGTTTGACCTGGGGGGGGTGGGGGGGCAGGCACATGGCCAGGGTGGATGTGGCCAACTCGGCGTCACTCGGCCTGCCTGGGCCTCCTGCAGCCCTCTGCCAAAGAAACTGGAGCTTGGGGAGGTTGCTTTTCTCCTTGATGAGTTGCCACCCATCGCTTCTTGCCCTGCCTTCGAGTGCTTTGTGTCAACTCGTAAGGAATTCCTATGCCTATTTTCGAGTTGCCATAAGTGGGGGACGGCGGGGGGGACGGGGGACCAGAAGTACATTCCACGCATAGCTTACAATGATGGTAGCTAGGCTACCGGATCTTCTGCCTCCGAAAATCCTTCATTGGAGAATGTGATTGATGACGCCCAGCCCTACGTTGGAGAATCTGATTGATGACACACGGGGGGGAGGGGGGGACAGGGTCACAAGTGACCGTAAATCACTTGTGTCAAGAGTTGGCTTTAACTGGGATAATGCCGACATGTTCCTCCTAATAAACCCTTTGGATTCTTCTGAAGCTTGGCTCGAGGTTCCTGATTTAATGAGGGCAATCGCCGGAACCCTGACACTTTGGAGAATAGCTTGACCCCCTCTCCTTTGTGGCACATATTGGAACCCTGCTATCATGACACACACACACCCCAGTCCAGTGGTGGCTAACCTTTTTGGGCTCCCGTGCCGATAACTGCGCACACGCTTGCCTGATCGTGCTCGCATGCCATCACCCAGAAGGCAATATGCGCGTCCCCCCATGCCTCCTGCGCATGCACTGCGACCTACGTGACTCGCACTTCTGCACATATGACTCGTGCGACCTGTGTTGCACGCTTCCGCGCATGCCACCCTTGTGCAATGCGTGCTTTTGCAGATGCGCAAGTGTGTCCTGCGCACCGCTGCACCCCCACACATGTGTGCCAGGTACCCAACAATCGGGTGGTGGGTGCGCATGCGCAGTAGATCTTTTCTGGGCGAGTGCTGGCATGCCAGCAGTAATGGCTCTGTGTGCCACTTCTGGCAGGCGTGCCATAGGTTCACCACCAGGGCCCTAGTCCATCTCTTCATTACACCAGACATACCCAGTTCCTCTCACTGTTCTTCCTCTATATTTAGCCTTCAGCCCCACAATCGTCTTTGCTGTTCTTCTCTGCACTTTCCAGAATCTCAACGTATTATAGATTCGTCTGCTGACTGCAGGTCCTTGACTCGTTTAACTGAAATGTTCTGGGGTTGCACCACTCAATGGAACCTTAAGCCCAAAAGTTGAATTCTTAGCAGCTGCTAAGGTCCTCCTGCTGCAAACATTTCATCTTACTCTTGAGCAGGGGGCTGGGCTAGAAGACCTCCAAGGTCCCTTCCAGCCCATTCTACTCTAAATATAATTGCCTAGGTCAGTGATGGTGAACCTTTTTGTTGTGAAGTGCGCCCTGCTCACCTGCACATGTGCACGCAATATCCCCGCCCCCTTACCTGCACTACGCAGGCGCACGCCTCCCAGCTGATTTTCGACCCATTTGAGGCCATTTTCGCCCTCCCAGAGGCTTGAAGGAAGCCTCTGCAGCCTTTGGAGGCCGAAAAACAGGCCCGTTTCGTCACTCCCAGTATTTCTGGAAGGCCCATTTTTTCAGCCTCGTGAGGCTGCAGGGGCTTCCCTCGAGCCTCCGGGAAGGCGAAAACAGCCTCAGACGGGCTGAAAATCAGCTGGGAGGCGTGCGCATGCACAGTGCAGGTATGTTGTGCGTGCCCACACAAATGGCTCTCTGTACCACCTGTGGCATGTGTGCTACAGGTTCACCATCATGGGTCTAGGTTAAAAGGAAGCAGGCCCACCACGTTGTTTAAATGCACCTGCCACGTTTTGGACTTGGTCAAGTCTCTCCTGTAAACCCACCCCACAAACTGAAATGTGTACAGCTACAAACCAGCCACTCTGGGATCAGCAGGATTCCGTCGGAAGGTGTTTTTCTGGGAATTGGCACCACGGAATATGGAATACCCCAGGGCTGCAAGATGAAAGAAAACCACACTGAGATTATTACAGCATATTGAATCATAGCGTCGTACAGTTAGAAAGGACCAACTGTTTCTCTTGGCACAGGGGCCACCAGATCAATGCTTCCCAAAATTGGCAATTGCCAGCTGTGTGGACATCAACTCCCAGAATTCTGACCAACGGCCATGTTGACTGGAATTCTGGGATTTGAAGTTCACATGCACAGAAATCATTACGGTTGGGAAAACCCTGAATTGGATGGATGACCATCCAGCCTCTATTGGAAGACAACAAAAAGAAAATAGGAATGGAATGGAATAGAAGAGAATGCTCTGTTACTCGGTAAAATAAAGAAGAATTAGAATTAGAATAGAATAGAACAGAACAGAACAGAATACTCTGTTCTGTAAAATAATAGAATATAATAGGGAATAGATTAGACTAGAATGGTCTGTTATTCTGTTATTCTGTAAAATAAATAATAGAATAGACTATAGAATAGAATAGAATAAAGAATAAGAATAGAATAGAATAGAATGCTCTGTTCTGTAAAATAAATAATAGAATAGAATATGGAATAGAATATAGAATAGAATAAAAGAATAGAATAGAATAGAATAGAATAGAACAGAATAGAATAGACCATGGAATAGAATAGAATAGAACAGAATAGAATAGAATGCTCTGTTCTCTAAAATAAATAATGAAATAGAATATAGAATAGAATATAGAATAGAATAGAATAGGAATAGGAATAGAATAGAGTTAGAAGGGACTTTAGAGATCTAGTCCAGTCCCTCCCACCTCACTCAAGGAGGAGGTAACGGAAGCCTTACGTGCATGCTCAGAGGGCCTGTTTGTAGCCTCACTCACCGTTTAGCAGGACAATGCCCCCCGCCAGAGGCAGGCTAAGCTTCTGGGGGTGAGTCACCAGGAAGCAGGACTGGAGGCTGTACAGGAACGGCACCCAGGCCAGGTCCCCGTAAGCGAGCATGAACCCAAAGCCATCCTGGACGATATCCATTGTGGTGAGAACGGCCTCCTGCAAAATATTCCTAAATGTCAGCCACCAATTTCTTGACGCCAGCCTTTCTCGACCTTGGCCCCTTTAAGACGGGTGGACTGCATGGCTGGGGAATTCTGGGAGTGGAAGTCCCCCCGTCTTAAAGGGGCCGGGGTCGAGAAAGGCTGCTCTGGCTTCATCCAGCTGTGCAAACAGCCATGGATCACTCAAAGCACTGAGTCAAGCCAGATTGCGCAACCAGCCTTGTACCTCTAAAATTATTTGCTCGCCAAATATTTTGTTTTTCTCCCCAAGTTCCAAGGAGAACTTGTTAAATTATTTTGGACACATACACACACACACACCGGCGTTCTCCGTGGCCTGGCCTGCTGGCCATGCCTTAACCTACCTCATGCCAGAGGGCGTCTACCACGTAGAGGAACTGGAAGGCATTAACCAGGATCATGGCCAGAGAGGGGCTGCCTCTCAGCTCTGTCTCTTTAACCAACATTGCCATGTTGATCAGGGCCTGGGGGGGGGGGGAGGAGACAGACAGTCCAGCGATGAAAACAGGTTTATCTTCAACTTCCCTATTTGTTTCTCCCTGTTTTCCCCACAACACTGGATTTTAAAAACATAGGGATAAAATTAGGAAGCTGGAGGCTAAAATATAGGAAGAGCAGTTGCAGGAATTGGGTTTGGCTAGTCCAGAGAAACGAAGGACCAGAGGAGACATGAAAGCAGTGCTCCACTATTTGAGGGGCTGCCCCAAAGAGGAGGGGTGGTCAAGCTCTTCTCCAAAGCCCCAGAAGGCAGGACAAGAAGCAACGGGTGGAAAGTAATCAAGGAGAGACGCAGGCTGGAACTAAGGGGGAATTTCTTGACAGTGAGGACAATTAACCAGGAGAGCGGCTTCCTTTCAGAAGTTGTCCATCCCTGAAGGTTTTTAAGAAGAGACTGGACAACCATTTCTCTGAAATGGCATAGGGTCTCCTGCTTGAGCAGGGGGGTGGACTAGAAGACCTCCAAGGTCCCTTCCAACTCTGTTATTCTATATTCTAAATCTCTGCAGTCTTGGAGAAAGGGACATCATTTAATCCTTGCTTCCCAAGGATCAGGTGAAATTATCTGGATCACATTCCTGCCCAACGCATTAATCTTCCTTTCCTTTCCTTTCCTTTCCTTTCCTTTCCTTTCCTTTCCTTT